CCCCAAAACCCCAAAACCCCAAAACCCCAAAACCCCAAAACCCCAAAACCCCAAAACCCCAGCTCAATAGTGAGATATTGGAAAGATAATAATTTAATTTAAGTACCAATAAAAATAAGAATGGGGACTCAACACAGTACAAAACTCGGCCAAAAACAAGCCTCCCTCACCAAAGGGGACTTCAAAGTGAAGATCTACCTCGATCTTCCTACCTTCATTACAAAAATTAGAGTCACTGGAAACGAACAGGAAAGAGACTTTAGCAGTCTTGACCCGCCACAGGACAGAAGAAAGAGCCATCTCGAAGAAAGTATAAAACTTGTTGACGATGAGGATATGAACGAAGCCTTGTTGGACTCCACACTTGAAGATGTCGAAAGAGTGGCAGATGGCATTATGCAGGATTTAGACAAGAAGGCTGATTATTTTGAAATATCCATGAATAGTAAAGAGAAATCAGAAGATTTGTTGAATAAAGTGCAGAAATATGTATATATGCTAGAGTTGTACCAAATTAGGAGATATCATCAAAATTCGAAATTCAGCAGTGGGAGTGATAGTGATGAAGAACCTCCTGAGCCATCTAAGTTTGATAAGATAAACTCTGAGTTTAGCTCAGTCGTTGATGGTAGTCTGGGAAATTCAGAGGAGATTACTATCCGGAAAATTATAGAAGGTAACATCATGGTGTAAAATTAGTAAATTTATTTAGAAAATTATAGAAATTGATTAAAATTGTCACCAATTTATGGACTTGACCCAGTGACGATGTGGCACTGGGGTTTAATCCAAGGAATTTCTCTTAATTTCATTTAGGATCTTCTTACAAGAATTTTTCAAAGCTTCATTGTAAAGTTATTGGTCTAAAAACTTGCCAATCAATGGACGGAGTCGATTTCCTTTTGAATAAAAGAGATGTGAAAGTCAAGTATTTAAATGATGGTGACGAACTGGAAATACTATGGCTAGATCTAGATAACAAGGCTACAAAGGTAGGTCTCTTTGGTCGTTTGCCTCATGATCATTACATTATTTCGATAGTCATTTTCTGAAGATACAGAAGTGTTGGTTAACATATTGATTTAGAGAAGCTTCACCCACAATTACAATCGGTGTGAAATAATAAAAACAATTGGGAAAGGTGGATTCTCATTAGTATACTTGATCAGAAATTACAAAATCACCAAGAAAAATCGAGTTGGATTTGGTCGTGGAAGAATTCTGAAGAAAGAGGACAGTGAGAAATATGCTGATCCTGACTTCAACAAGTTTAGTACTGCTATTGAGGCGACTCCTTTTGCAAAGAGCCAGAACAGTTATACTTTTAACCAGAATTCTACGGATATTTATGCATTAAAGTCTATGAGTAAGGCAATGATCTCTCAATTCAAGCAAGCTGATCATGTAATGAATGAAAAAGAGATAATGAACTCGCTTGATCATCCCTTCATTATTAAGATGCATTACTCTTTCTCAACCAAAAATTACCTGAACTTGGTCCTAGATTATTGACCAGGCGGTGAACTCTTTTTCCATATTTCGAAACAAAAGAGGTTTACAGAAGCAGTGGCTCGCTTTTACATTGCAGAAGTTATACTAGCTATTGAGCATCTTCATGACAACAATATAATTTATAGAGACTTAAAGCCTGAAAATGTGCTGATAGACTACGATGGGCATATAAAGCTCACAGATTTCGGGCTCTCTGAGATGAACTTTACTAAAGACTCTACTTCAAACATTTTCTGTGGAAGTCCAGAGTACATGGCTCCTGAGATGATCCTAAAATATGATTACACGAGGATGATTGATATATTCGCTATTGGAGTCTTGCTATATGAGATGATCGCTGGAATTCCAACCTTTTTCTCTCAAAAGAGGAGTGACTTGTTCTACAACATTGTTAATAACCAGCCCAAGTTCTCCAAACATTTTTCATCGAAGGCAAAGGATTTTATACGCAAATTACTCAGAAAGGACTATATTCAGAGGTTAGGCTACCAGAATGGAATGAGTGATGTTAAGAGCCATCCTTTCTTTGATGGGTTTGACTGGGATAAATTATACAATAAGGTGTATACACCTCCTTATCAGCCATCCGCCAGGGAGATATACTTCTCTAGTGAATTCACTTCGATCCCGGTCGAGTTGAACTTTGAGGAGGAAGTTCTACATAAGAGATCCAGGATGAGTGAAGTTGAGAAGAAAAATGTACCTATCCAATCTTTATTAAACAAAGAAGCCTCTACCTTTGGAGAGTATGTTGCACCTGTAGTTGACGACTTTTCAGACGACTTATCAGAGCCTCCAGCTCCAAAAAGAAAATCTTCAGAACCCCCTTCATGTAAAAATTTTAATACTCGGATGGTAGTCGAGAAAAGAGATAAAAAGCAAGCGGAGAAAAAACCTTTGAAATCTGAGCAAGAATCAATGAATGATAAAACTCCTACAAATAATCAAAGAAGTAATTTGAGCTTAATTTTTAGAGATATCTGCATTTGGAGATTATGTGCTGCATAATAATAACACTTCAGGCATTAAAAATCTAGAGCAAATTGGTGAGGTAATAATCTAATCATTAGGCCCTAATGAAAAAGCGCCCACAGTGACTAGTATCAAACTTAAGAAGCCAGGAGAGACAACTCCAGAAACTTCAGAGAGTCCACAGACGGAGGAACAAACTGCAAAGTTTGGTAGCTCCATGAAGAAAAAGCTCAAGAGCTTTCCGACACAAAACTTCAATATCACCAATAATCAGGCTCAAAAATGTGTAGAAAAGTATGACATAAAGAGCTATAAAAGATCAGAATCAGTAATGAACTTAAAACTCGATCATTTGATGACCAACAACATCGTATCTGAAAGACATCGTATTGATCCACGAGAATTGGATAGCCCAAGAGACAAGTCTAGTGAAGAGACATCTGAAGAATTTGACCTTTCATGATCTGAAGAGGATGAAGAGGAAGAGCAAAAGCAATCAAAAGGATATACCAGAATTGAGACTATTCAAGAGCTTGAACGTGAAGACACGCTTGGCTACCTTGACTCTAATCCAAAGAAGAACTTTCTGTTTAGTACTAATTCTGAAATTGCAGATTTTAGTATTGATGAAAATGATGGGTTCGTTCAGCGAATTCCAAGCTATCCAATCAGGAAAAGTATTGTTACAGGGAAATCTCCAATAATGACTGGCTGAGGGAAGCCTCTCCTTATGAGAGATAAGTCAAAGACTGGTCCTGTAAATTACTCTAGTAGGGCTAAATGAGAACCCCAGAATACTTCCAATATAGAGTTTGACTATAAAGAGATAGGAGATGATGAACTTCTCTATCTTTTTAACGAAACTACAACTGTAAGTACATTTTATAACTGTTTAGGAGGGGAACGAAGAAGGGAACATGAAGAGTATTGCTAATGCTATTAAAAGATCATCAGTCAAGATGTGAACTCCTAAATCTGTACTGGATTTACTTAATCCTATAGTTGAACGAAAATATATTTTACCCTCGGCCGATAGAACCTTTAAAAATGTAAGAATATATTCTAACTCCTAGTACTAAAAACACTGCTTCCAAAGGTTTAAAAAGCCAGCTCCCTCTTCACTTGGCTAAAGAGATCTCTGATGCTAACCAAGATGTGAATTTTGAAAGCTTTATAGAATTTAATGGCACAGTAGATAATTCAGTCTCTGAAGAACTAAAAGTTACTGACAAAGTTCCTCAGAGTCCTCAAAAGAAGTCTGAAAACCCTTTTCTAAGCTGTGACATTGAAAATCTTGAAGACAGCAAATCAACTGTAAAGAAATCAGGTATGAGTATCAATGAAGAAGAAAAACACCTCAGAACAGAGTTCGAGAAACATTGAAACCACAGGCTCGACTTATCCCTAAATGGTAGGAAAAACTTTAAAGAGCCTTATCTTCAGCTTTTATAGACTCTATTACGCCTCCTGAAGGAGCGTCCAAGGTAAATACACAGTCAACGCCACAGAACTATTTCAGACGAATTCATACCTGCTCGAAGGTTGGCGCTTCAAATGAAGAAGATAACTTAGACAATTCTCTGCAAGTATGTCTAGTTCTTAATTTTAGGTGAGTAATCAGCTGAGAACCAATTCTCTGAAGGGATTCCTAACTTCAGAGCACAACGCTCCTTACAGAAATCATTTTGAAGGTCTGAAGAATCCGTTCAGTGATGCTCCAAATAGCACTAGGCTGAGAAGCTGCTGTTCCAAGAAAGCTCCAGCCAGTGGAGTACAATCAGCTATGCCTCTGGGTGTAAGTCGCTTCAAGGGCAGTAAAATGCATCCTAGTTGAAAAAGACAGTCTGATAATATCATTAGTAAGAAAACTAGGATTAAGTTCAAAGTATCCCAAGAAACAGTTAAAATGCAACGTAAGGCCGTTCATATCCTAATTATCTAGGTAATAATGAGATAAGCACTCAAAAATTTGATATTAGTGGACGTCAGAGCTGGACTGAGACATACCGTTCTGAAAGGTTTGGAGCTATATCCTGAATTTTTAGGTCCCATAAAAGTAGCACACACTGTAAAAGGCCATCAAAGGGCAAAGATATGCATTACTATACAGAGAAATTCATCAAAAATATCCTAGGAAGCAAGAAAGATGATTAAACACCCAGAAGATTGTATTTCTCATTTCGATTTTTAATTGAGTTATTCTATATATTGCCACACTTGGGGTTTTGGGGTTTTGGGGTTTTGGGGTTTTGGGG